TCCTTCCTTCCTTCCTTCCTTCCTTCCTTCCTTCCTTCCTTCCCTTTCCTTTCCCTTCCCTTCCCTTCCCTTCCCTTCCCTTCCCTTCCCTTCCCTTCCCCTTCCCCTTCCCCTTCCCCTTCCTTCCTTCCTTCCTTCCTTCCTTCCTTCCGCAGTTGCCTAAGCGCTCCAAGAAGAGCTGCCAGCCAGCACCGGACCCCTGCCCGGCAAAGGAGAAGGCCTGGGGAGGCAGGCTCCCTGAGAAGGGGCTCAGCCTACTGGTGCAGGAGGTCCTGGGCAGGCCCCTCAACAAGACGGAGCAGCTGTCCAACTGGGAGAAGAGGCCCCTTCGGGAGACACAAATCCTTTACGCAGGTCTGGCTCCTTTGCCCCTTTCCAGCTGAGCAGCCGGACCACGAGGGCCCTTGAGTGGGGTGCGGTGGCAGGAGGGGGGGGGGACTTCAAAAGCTTCCCTGGGGGAGCCGCCCAGCCTTTCCCACTCCAGGGAGCTTCCTGCGTGGTGATGGACAGGCGCTCTGTTCCCGCCCCGGCTTCCCTGCCGCACAAGTTGGCGCTGCCCTACCTCGCAGGGCTGTCGTAGGTTTATAGAGAAGAGCGATGGATGAGAAACCAAGCCCTGACTGCGGTGGCCTTTCCGCAGCCTGTGATGCCTATTGCTTGCTGGAGGTGCACGCCGAGTTGCTGAAAGACCCGGCTGCCTTCGGCCTGAGCTCCGATATGGAGGCGATGATGAGGAAAGACGGCCATCCCGGAGCGAAAGCCAAGAAGCCACCGAGGAGGGAGCAGGGACAGCCCCCCACGCGCAAGGAGGTATGTCGGGTTGAGCCTGGAGAAAGGAGGCCCGGCTGCCGAATCTCTGGGCCGCTGCTGGGCTCGTCCCGCAGCCAACCATGCTTCGTCCGCTCTTCTTCCTTCTTTACGTGGTGGGCACCAAGTTTCCCCGCCCCTCCACCTTGGCAGAATGGGGCTGGACCCCGGATGAGCCCGTTTTCCCCTCCACACGCAGATCCCAGCGCCCGTCCCGGCAGACGCCCCCAGCCCTTCAGCCGGCATCCTGGCACAAGACTTCCGCGTGGTCTGTGACAACATGTTACAGGGCCTGGGACGATCCCTGCGCTGCCTCGGGGTGGATGTCCGGATCCTGGGGAACGACGATGAGCACCGGAAGGCTGCTGAGGTTGGTGGCTGTTGGGCCGAGCCTTCTCGGCCCAATCTTGGGTCTGGTAGAGCAGTCGGGGCTCTGGCTCAACCCGCAGGAAAGTCCTCAGCTGCCCAAGGGAACACGGAGATGAGCTTGGTTCAGTCCTGCCCCCCCACACTTCTCCTGTTTCCATGGAGACCAGGCAATTGGCCTTCCTAGTGGTACCACATGGCTGGTTGGTTAGTTTACTTTATGGTCATCGCACCTCGTACCACAAAGTCGAACACCGTCTTCAGTGCACATCGTGACCATGAAAATAAACACAAACACACACATCCTTCACCTTCCACACATTGAATGGAAAAACCCCAAAACCGCACCAACGCTGCACCATTCAGTAGAATTCAACAGAGCTGCTACCTCGGGATAGAAGCTGTTTTTCAGCCTGTTTGTCCTTGTTTTTATGATCGTCCTGTACCGTCTGCCGGATGGTAATAGTTCAAAAAAAAAAAGAAAGAAAGAAGGATGCCCAGGATCTTTGAGAATGGTTTGAACTTTCTCGAGGCAGCGGGAGAATGTTTTGAGCTTTCTTAAAGCTCTTCCAAAAAGGGGAGACGGCAGTTGCATTCCATACAAGATCTTGTGTTAATGTCGCACTATATGCGGTAGAATTCAACAGAGCTGCTACCTTGGGATAGAAGCTGTTTTTCAGCCTGTTTGTCCTTGTTTTTATGATCGTCCTGTACCGTCTGCCAGAGGGTAATAGTTCAAAAAAAAAAGGGTGAGATGGATCTTTGAGGATGTTTTGGTGGCTTTGAGCCACGCTTGGCTAATCAAAGATTCCCCCCCTCATCTCCCCATCTCTTTTCCTTGGCTCAATGGGGGTGGGGGGACGATCAGTTCTGGCAGGTGAACCAGGAAGCTCCTTGCAAGCAGCCCCCCAGTCCATCTGGCTTATGTCCCCGTCTCCAATGGCTTTGGCTGAGCCTGGGAGCCAACCCTTTGGCAGGTGGAGGGCCTAGCAGTTGTGTGTGTGTGTGTGTGTGTGGAGGGTGGGTTTGTCGCATTTGTAGTCCCACTTAGACGAAGGGCAGAGAGCCCTAGGTTTCCCACTGCTGCGCCGGTAGCGAAAGGTTGCCCGAAGCAAGCCTGGCTTTTATGGATTCCTTTCTAGATTGCCAGGGAAGAGAACCGAGTGATTTTAACGTCCGGCCTTCCATTTCATTCGGTGAGTGCGTAGAGTGGGGAGAAGAGAGAGGGGGGAGTCTCTCCCGGGAAAGGTTGTCTCTTCCCTCTTCCGTGGCCAGGCGGGAATCCCAGCTGGGAGCTTCCCCGGCCGCCGTGGTGGTTCCTCTCCCTCCCCCAGCTCTTCCCAGGTGCAGCCCGATCCCTGCCGCCTCCTCCCAAGCAGCTCCTCTCCTGCTTTCTCGGCAGCTGCGGTCCCAAGTGGGCGAAGGCCGCTGTTTCTCGGTGAGCTGCTCAGAGAAAGCCAGGGATCAAGTCCTGCAGGTCGTGAAGCACTTCAACGTCCGGGTGGCCTTGGCCGATGTTTTCAGCCGCTGCCAGGTAAGGCGGCCGGAGCCTCCCCTGCCCTCTCCCTCCGGCAGGCCCCTTTCTCTGGGTCCTATTGGCTTCGTCCGGTTCTCTTCCTTGTCCTCGTGGGACCGGGGCGGGCGCCGAGTAGTTAAGTAGGTGGGCAAGAGCCCTTCTCCTCGGAGGGAAGGAGAGAGGCGGCCCTTTGGGATGCTCCTTTCGGGTCCGCGGGAGGAAGGCGGCTGAGCCCCCACAGAGAAGGAATGATTTTGGGAGGAGCTGGGTGGGGGGGTGTATGTAGGGGTGGGGGGGATGCTTTTTGCTTGCAATGCCAGTTTCCTCTTCCTGGACTTAAATGGACTGACCCCTTCCGATCGGTTTCCTCCTCGTGGCTGCGAGGGGAGCGTTTACGGGCAGGGCAGAGGGTTGAGTGTGGCTTCGAATGGGCCTCCGGCTCGGTTCTCCTCGGCTGCGCCCGCTTCCCCGGCGGACTTCTCCACAGTACGAATCATCGGGCACTTTTTTTTTTTAAATTGTGTCTTTCCGCGCCCGGGAGATCAAAGCTGGCCCTTCTACCCTTCTCACTGCCAGGGGTCAACAAAGCATTTCTCCAGCTGATGGACTATGGGGGCAGGGAGAGAGCGGGCAGAGGGACTGGCGTGAGGGGGGGGGGGGGCATCTCCGTATCTTGTGCACGGTGGAGGAGGACCGTGGGGAATGTAAGGCCTGAGCTCTCGGCCTTCTTTCCAGGCAAGACCGTCCGTCGTGGATGCGGGGCGTGGTGGGAGTCGGGGCGCCCAAGGACCTGGTCCCCTGCAGAGAGCGGCTCCCCCTCGCGCCCCGATCGGGAGGCGAGGGGCTCGCTCGGGCAGGCTCCTTGACCGAAGCAGAGAATTCGCCCGCTGTGTTTTGTGCGGGAGCCTCTTGAAGGGAGGAAGAGCGAGTGGGGCTGGTGGGGGGGGGGGGGGGGAGGGGGGGGGGGGGGGAGTCATTTGGACCCTGGCCGGGATCTCACCAGCGGTAGCTGCCTTGCGGAGCGCTGCTGCCTGGTTCCCACAGACGGTCTGTTTTCCTGCCAAGATCTCAGTATCTTCAGAAACCCAGCGGAGCATGAAGGTCACAACCAGGGAAGAACGGCACACACACATACACACACACACACACACACACCCCTTGTGCTTTTCTCTGGCCTGTCCCCCCTCGGAGTCCAAAGCGGGGAGAAGGGAGGGGAGCCTTCGCTGCCTCTGCTGATCGGGTGAGGGGAGGTGGCAGGCCCAGATACGCTCCTTCCCTCACCCTGCTCAGAACGGCCGCCCTGGACGGCGAAGAGGTTGGCCTTCCACCTGGCCTGCTTATCTGCTTGCCTTACCTGAGGCCACCTGAAGGTGTTTGGGATGGAGCAAACCGTTGAGGCTTCCCCATGGTTTAAAACGCGCCAGATCTGGGTTGGCGTTTCTCTCCGTAGAGGCGTTTCCTGCTGAGGAAGGAAGGAAGGAAGGGAAGGGAAAGGAAAGGAAAGGAAAGGAAAGGAAAGGAAAGGAAAGGAAGGGAAGGCTGGAAGAAAGGAAAGGAAAGGAAAGGGAGGCTGGAAGAAAGGAAAGAAGGAAAGGAAAGGAAAGGAAAGGGAAGGAAAAGAAAGGAAAGGAAAAGAAGGCTGGAAGAAAGGAAAGGAAAGGAAAGGAAGGCTGGAAGAAAGGAAAGAAGGAAAAGAAAGGAAAGGAAAAGAAGGCTGGAAGAAAGGAAAGGAAAGGAAGGCTGGAAGAAAGGAAAGAAGGAAAAGAAAGGAAAAGAAGGCTGGAAGAAAGGAAAGGAAAGGAAAGGAAGGCTGGAAGAAAGGAAAGAAGGAAAGGAAAGGAAAGGGAAGGAAAAGAAAGGAAAGGAAAAGAAGGCTGGAAGAAAGGAAAGGAGAAAGGAAAGGAAAGAAAGGGAAGGAAAGGAAAGGGGAAAAGAAAGGAAAGGAAAGAAGGGAGGAAAGGAAAGGGAAAGGAAAGGAAAGGAAAGGAAAGGAAAGAAGGAAAGGAAAGGAAAGGAAAGGAAGCTTCCCCAGCCAGCATTTTCCCATCCTTGGGAGCATGGCACGGATCTGTCCCCTCCCCCAGTGGGAAAAGGCCCTGTGGAGTTCCCAGGCTGAGAAAGGCGGCTGGCAGGTTCTCCTCCTCCTCCTCCTCCTCCTCCCCTAACCCCGGGCTGGTTATCTGAGGTCATGGACTCCGAGGCTTGCTTGCTTTCTGGAATCGGAAGGCCTCCTTCCCCTGGAGGAGACGACCCAGGCCCCAAGCCCTTCTCCCTGTGGGGCTGGGGGCCCCCGGGGGCCTTTGCGTTTTCTTGGGGGGCTCATGAAAGCAGCCTTTCCCCTGTCATTCCCAAGAAGGTCCCCTTCTTGGCAGCCAGGCCCCTTTGTGGCTTCCACGCCTGACTGGCCCCTCGTGCCCGGGAATCACTTTTCTCGTGTCTTTGGGAGGGATCTTGGCTTGCCCCCATCTCCCCCATTGTGGGATCTCCTTGGTGGCCCCCTTCCCACCAGCAGAGCTTGCATTGCAGCCCCCGGCGCTGTCCTCCCTCCGGAACAAAGGAAGGCCACCCAGGAGGCCACGGACCCTCTTCCGCTCACTCCCTTTGGCGCTGGAGGGGAGGCGGCAGGACAAGAGACCGGCTGGCCAGGCCGCTCTCCTGCAGGTGCCGCTGGCGGCCATTTGGAATGTCCTGCCGCTGACCAGGGAGCTCTTTTCCGGTGTGAATCGCCTTTGGGTGAGCCCTGCTGGCCATCGCAGGCAGCCGAGAGGCCTCCTTCCCTGCCCCGTGGGCCAGCCCGAGGCCTCTTCGTATTTCCCCCAGATTCCTTGCAATCCTTATTTTTCACAGTCTGGCCTTCCTCCCCTCGACCAATTTCCCAGGAGGGCTGCTTGGAGGGCGAAGATTTCTCACGATAGCGGAGCAACCAGAGCCTGCGAGCCCTCCCGGGGCCCCGGCGGTGGGGCCTGCTGTCACTGGGCACGCAGCTGCTCCGATACCCAGAGTGGTCAGTCCTGCCCTCCCTCCTCAAACCCGCCCCCGGACGGGCTTGCCCGGGCAAAGCCGCCTTTCCCGCCAGGGACGAGCGAGGCAGCTCCTGCTAGATCTGTTTAGGGACCGCAGGGAGAAAGTCCAGGGCTGCGGACGGCGAGTCAGGAGATTTTTGTGCACCTGCCAGGCGAAGGGGGCCCGCAAGTCAGCCCCCTAGCTCCCTTCAGCAGAGTCCTGGGGAGATCAGCTCAGCGGCCCTCCTGTGCCTCAGGGGCCCCCTCTTCTGGGGGCCACGGTGCCTGAGCGCCTTCCTTCCCTGAACGGATCACGTGCCCGAGTTTCCAGGGCCCGTCCCTGCTCCGCGATCTGTTGGTGCGCGGGAGAGTTCTCACGCTAAAAATACCCTCTCGGTGATAAGAGAAAGCTTGCGGGGGTGAGGGGTGGAAGGCATGGAAATGTCCCTGCACGAGGAGGAAGAGACTTGCCGGGCTGCTGCTAAAAATACGTGGGCATCTGAGGGAAAGGCGATTTTTTTTGGGGGGGGGGGGGGCACCGGCTCTCAGGCCTCATCCTGCGGGTAAAGTTGCAGACCTTCTCCAAAGCCAGGTTTTGCTGGCAAGGGGGCTGGGGGCTTGGCAAGGTGGGCGAGTCTTCAGCGGCTACGTGCCTGGGCTGCTGTCATACCGGAGCGTTCCCCAAGCGCTTAGCGAGGCCGGGAATGTTCCGGCCTGTTCCATAGGTGCCCCTGGCAAACTGGTTATGGGGCCCTGGCTCTCTTCCTCCCCCTCTCCCCCCCCCCCCAGGATTCGCATCCCACAAGCCAAGGCAGGTGTGGGGGGTGCCAAACAGGTGCCGCAGGGTGAGGAAGGGGCCGGGAGGCTGGCCTCTTGGCCTGAGCTGGGAATCTATGGCGAGCGCTGCTCACCTGGGCGCGGAAGGACATGCCCCTTGGGTGGCACCTGGCACAGTCGCTTTGCCCGCTGAGGCTCAAGCCGTGGGATTAGGAACCAGCCTCCTTTAAGCAAAGCAGAGCCCCATTCCAAAGGAGCTGATGAGGCCGGATAGCTGGTGTGTGCGTGTGTGTGTGTGTGTGTGCGCTTTGGGTCAGGAGGGTCCCACCTCCGCCGCCTGCTGTCTCTTCTTGTGGGCAGGGGTGGGGGGGAAACAGGGGCTGCTTTGCACCCAGGTGTCCCTCCTCTGTCCTCTGGCCCGCCTGCTGTGGGCCGGATCAACCTTTCGGGGTTTTCCTGACCTCGGATTAGCTAGATGCCAACCAAGGCTGGAGAGAGACAGACACAAGGCTGATAACAGCGTAATCTCCCTCCGCGATGATCGAAAAAACCCCGGTTGCAGATAAAACCCCACAGCCTGTTCGGTGGGGCTGAGCAGCCGCCCGCTGGCCTGGTAGCCCTTTTGGACACTTGGGGACGCCCGCCTGGGGACCGGGGGACGGGGAACTCCCTGGCTTTGGGGAAGCCACCATCCTGGAGGTGGCGCTTCCCAGCCCGCAAGCTACTTTGGGGCGCGCAGGGAGCAAGACTAAGGGCCTCAGGGCTCAGGCTGCCTGGGAGAAGGGCCCCTTTTCTGGAGGGGTTTGGCACAAAGGCCTTCCCGAACCCACGGTGGCCGCAGCGCTCCCTGGCCAAGGGCTCCTTTCCCCTCGGAGGGGGGCCCAAGATAGCCAGGGCCGTGTGTTGCCCAGGACCCAGACCGAGGGCAAGCTGAGCTCAAGGCATCCGACTCCGGTGTCCAGGCAGGGCATCCAACTGAGTTGGGTCCAAGGCCAGGCAGCGCGGTGTCCACCACTCTCCCTTCCTCAGGCTGCTGGTGGCCAGCTAGCTCTGAAGGGGGCAAGGGCGTGGCGCTCTGGTGGACGGAGGGAGGGGGCCGAAGGGCAGACGGGCTGGGGGGGGGGGGGGGGGAGAGGATGCAGGCGTAAACACATGGGGAGGAAATGGAAGAGATGCGGAACCGGTCACTCTTCCTTTCGGGCGTCTTTCCCTCGCCCTTCCCGCAGATGTCCAAGAAGC